GCTCAAGGCTGTTGTTGGTGCCATAGTGGTGCAGTGGATAGCACTGTTGCATCAAAGCAAGAAGCTGCCCCAAAGCATCCTCGAGCCCGAGAATATCAGCAGACTTCTATGAAAGGTTACAGTTTGGTGATAATGAGGACCCAGATGTTGGAGATGTGAAATGAACAAGTTTAAGTCAGGAGGATCTGGTGATGGCCTCCATGGGTCATAGAGGGTAGCCAATGATTTCTTCCTGTTCTCAGTAGTGGCCCTGGGTATGAATCACCCAGGCAGTAGGAGAGGAGGCTCTCCACTGAGGAGCGGTAGATGGACAGCAGCAGGTTCTGGTCCAGGTTATTCCTCTTTAGGACATGGAGGAAGTCCAGCCGCTGCAGGGCCTTCTTTACCAGGGTGTTGGTGTTGATCCAGAGATCAGCTGAGATGTGGGTGCCCAGAAACCTGAAGGTGGAGACAGATTCCACCCATTCTCCATTTATAAGAGAGGAGGGTGGACCTGCCTGTGCCTCCTGAAGGACGTTCAGCTTCAGGTTATTTTCTGAGAACCAGCGGGACAAGTTCTCCACCTCCGCCCTTTACGCTGTCACATCTCCATCAGAGATGAGCCCAACCACAGTGGTGTCATTGGCATACTTGACGAGGACATTGGTGGGTAGATCGGTTAGGGATGGGAATGATGGTGGAGCCCTTCAGATCGGTGGGAATGGTGACATTAGTCAGGAAGAGGTTGAAATCCCAGTGAGGATCTCTGCCATTTGGTCCGTGCAGGCTTTAACCACACCCCCTGGGATGCTGCTTGCACCCCTCCTTAGGTTGGAGGAGCGCTTCACAGAAAACTGTCCCGGGTTCTGATCAGAGCCTGTACTTCACTCATCATCCAAAGTTTTCGGTTTGCAAAAACACGGATGTCACATTCTCTACACAACTTGATGTAGAAAAGGACAGACTGAGTGAATGTCTCTGAGGTCCTGCTGTTCAAAGCTGGACCAGTCTTTGCATATAGCACTGAACTGATGTTTTACATGTGCATAAGACCATTATTAAATAAGCAGCATTAACCGGCTGCATTAACAGGCTTACAGTTAAATAATGGAAAATTATCTCTCTTAGGCTAGCCAATCAGATGAGCTGTCAATCATGGAAGGGGAGGAGCTTCAAGTAATCGAGGATGGAGATATGGAGGACTGGCTGAAGGTAACAATACTGATGTGATGCAGTATAATGTACTTTACTGGAAAGGTTACTCTGATGTTCTCTGTGCAGGTGTGTAACTCGTGTGGTCAGGTGGGCTACGTTCCTGAGCGGTATGTGCAGCTCCTGTGTCTGCCAGCAGAGGGCAGCACTCCGCTGGACAGCTCATTCAGCTCCACCTCCTCCACTGTGACTAAAGAGACGCCAGGGAGTAGAGGTCTGTGGCCATGTTTGCACTTGCACTTGACGTTACATTACTTACTGTGCACTTTGTATAAATAAGTGCTACCTCAGAGGGGAAATATTGACCCAGGCCCTACAAATCCTTCCTAAAACTTGGATCAAGTCTATTTTGAAAATTAATTTATCTTCTTAATTTAAAGATAAATTAAGAAGATGAATCTAAGATGTATTTTTTTCCAATTTCCATAATATGAGTTTGTACCATGTGCTCTGATGTGTCTCAGGTGTAGCCAGGGCTCTGTACTCCTACCAGGCTCAGAGCGCAGAGGAGCTTTCCTTCCAAGAGGGGGCGCTAATACACCTGCTACGCCGTCCACGTGGAGAGGTGTGTGTTCTACGCTGCCGTTGGACTTGTAGGAAACAACGTAGAGCCCATCATGCACCAACAGCAATACTTTTTTTAAGAATGTTTGTTTTTTTGTCCTACAAACATGACTGCTCTACATGAATGGATAGAGGGTGTGGCTTATTTAGCGATTTACAGTAAAAACACCTCATAACAATTTAGCTCTTTCAAAGCTGCAGAGGAAGGGAGGGAAACCCTAACAACCTTTTACCTCACTTCAGTCGCTCAGGGTGAAGACTGCAAATCTAAGTGAGTCTTTTTACAGGTCGATGATGGTTTTTGGGAGGGAGAGCTGAACGGACACGTCGGCGTCTTCCCATCGCTGATGGTAGAGCTTGTTCACAATGAAGAGGAGGATGAGGAAGGAAAAGGAGAGATGGAGGTGAGACTACATCCTGGTAATCAGAATCTTCTGAAATTCAAAAATCAGTTTTTCTGATGTTTATTTTCCTCTCCAGCCTCTTCCAACCCCAACCATGCCCCCTTTCTCCCCTCCCATCCCCACAGCCTCAGCTCCTAGCTGTAATTCAGAACTGAGCGCTGCTTCTCCGAGCATGGAGGACAAGCAGCAGGCTGCTCTAACAGAGGGATCGAAGCTGGCAGGCAACAGACTGGGTAGAGTCTATTTTCTCTGTTTTCTGTCTAAAATGTGTCGTTTGAGGTGTTTCACTCTGTGTCTGTTGCACCACCAGAGGCCGGAACCAGCAGCCACAGCTCTGCTGAGCACTCCAGCACTCCACTGAGACCAGTAGGTGCAACACCTACACGTATCTTTTAGAAAATAAAAGCCTACCTCAAAATTGAGCACATATTTTTTTGAATATTTGAAGAGGATGGAAGCACAACCCAGACAGGGCATTTTAAGAGGCAGGAAGAGGCAAAGAAAAGGCAAAAGTTTGGAGGTGAGAGCAGGGACTTTAATTATAGGGATTATAATAATAAGCATGGAGATGAAGAAAGATAAGATAGAAGTTCATGTACAGCAGAGAGAGGTGGCAAAGAAAAGGCTTAAAGTGAACTGTATATAAGAGTGGACACAAGCAAGAATAAAAGTAGGGCTGGGTATCGTCACTGATTTCTAGAATCGATTCGATTTGAATCTGGGAAATTTTGCCTCAGACAGTCAGAAATATTATAATTCAGATCATGCTTCAGTACATTTCCATATTTTTATATCTATAAAAAGGAAGCTGACACTTGCCAGACTTTATCAAAGGTGTGAGCATCACAGCAGAGGCCTTTGTGTCAAAGTAGCTGAGGATAAAACACAGAAAAACGTGAAGGTGATTTTCCTGGCCTGGATTTTATACAAATATTCTGCAGTCAATCAAAAACGAAAGAAAACCATTAATCAACATGTGAACATTACCTGATGCTGCTGAAGTGAAGCAGAGCAAAG